CGACGACGATGACGACGACGACGACGACGACGACTACTACTACTACTACTACTGCTACTACTACCCCGAGGAGTAGGGACGAGAGAGGACGAGGCCACGGTTTAAACGCGGTGAGAGGCTCAGCCCTGGACCTCCGCCCCCCGCCCCGATCTTCCGCGGGCGTTGCGGCCGCCCCCGCCAACGTTGGACGGGGGTGCAGGGGGCCCGCGTCGCTCTCAGAGCGGGCGACGCAACTTCAAGATGATCCGGACGCGACGCCACGACTTGACGATAGCCTCAAGCGCCCCCCAATCTCCCACCGCGGCCCCAAGGCGATCCCAAGATGGCCCCAAAAATACCTCATGGCTGAAAAGTCTCGCATCTGACCCGACGGCCTTCATGCGACCTCGGGGCGACCCAAGATATACCCCAGCCCGCGCGCCGAAGTTCATATAATATTTTTCGGGGGGGCGGCGCGCCCCCCACGCCCGGAACCCTGGCCTCCCAGACGCGCGCCCCCGCGACCGGGGCGCAGCTCTCGCCGCGCAGCCGCGCGCGCATCAGGGCGCGTCGCTCGCTGCCAGCCACGTCTTCCGTAGCCCGGTTTGCCCGAGACCGCCGCGGCCAAACGCGCCCGGGCTCTCGCGCGGCACGGCGCGGCTCACCCAGTTTGAGATGGGGCAGATCAAGGCGCGCTTGCATCACGCGCCGGGGGCGACTGCAATTGCCAGTCTCGCGACGAAGACAGACGGGGCGAGCGCATCTGCTCGGGCAGTCTGCGACGCCAAGGCCAAGCTCGAGGTGGACCCCTCGTGGCGCGGGGGGCGCGCCCCTGGGTCGGCCGCCCCAAGCAAGACCAATTCGGGCACCGACGAGGCAATCGCCAGGGAGGCGTTCCGAGCGAAAGGCCGCGCCAAGGTGGCAGTAGTTCACTTGGAAAAGAACCCCCCCCCGCCTGCAGGCCCTGTCGGGCCCGCCGGCGGAAGGCCGGCCGCGCGAGGCAGGGCTTCAATGCAAGAGGCGCCGTCGCAAAATGCTCGCGCCGATCAAATATACGCAGGCCCGCGCGGACTTCGCAGAGCGGGCGAAGCGCGCGACCCAGGCGACATTGGACGGGCGGGCGCACAGCGATGGGAAGGGCGCCCCGCGCACGGGCAGCGCCGGGCCCTCTTCGCGCAAGAAGGGCCAGGGGATGCCTGTCCGATTACGGGGCTCTCTTGCTCAGGGTCAGCCCCGCGCCACCGCGCCCCCAATGCCAGCGGTGGTACGCGGGGGCGGTCAAGAGGGCCCCGCCCCCACGGTTCGGCGCTAGCGAAAGCGCGGCCTGCTGTCAGGCCGCGGGACATGCGAGCCGCGAAGCGGTCAGATGCGGGCCCTCAGGAGATGATGATGCCGGCGATGGCGGTACCTTTTGCCGCTGCGCTTGCCGCGCGCCCCCCCCGCCGGCGCCCAACTGGGCGCCAAGCGGACCCCTCCTTCCGCCACGCGAAGCGGGCCTCGCCTCCGGCGCCGTTAGACACCGGGGCAAAGCCCAGGGCGGGCGGGCATAAGAGGGCCCCATGGGGGCCCTGGAAGGGCTTCGAGCCCCGAAGGCTTGAGCGGAAGAGAAAGGGGGAGAGAGAGCAGCAGAGGCAGGGGCAGGGAGAGAGAGGAAACCCAAGCCGACTGGGGAGGGCGGGGCCCAACCGTTTGGGTCAAACAACTAAGACCCCGCCCACGCAGTACGGCGCTAGCGAAAGCGCGGCCTGCTGTCAGGCCGCGGGACATGCGAGCCGCGAAGCGGTCAGATGCGGGCCCTCAGGAGATGATGATGCAGGCGATGGCGGTACCTTTTTCCGCTGCGCTGGCCGCGCGCTCCTCCCGCCGGCGCCCAACTGGGCGACAGGCGGACCCCTCCTTCCGCCGCGCGAAGCGGGCCTCGCCGCCATACGTTCCAGCGGCGCTGGCAGGTTGCTGCCTGCGATGCCGCGCGCTGGTCTGGCGGGCCATGCTCGTCAGCAACTGCTGCGGGGGCGCCGCGAGACGGCGCCGTCAAAACTGGGCGCCAGGCTGCATGTGCTGCCGGCACCATCTAGACTCCGGAGCCACGCGGCAGGCAGTGCCTTGCCGGTGGCGCGAGCTGCTCGGGGCGCGCGCAGCCGGGCGCAGGCGCTGGCGCGCGGGGGGCCCAGCTGGCCCTCATGCCTGCCGAGCGCCGCCAGGCAGCTGATGCCGGCGTGCTCGGCCGTCCGCCGCTGGGTCTAGGCCGAGGCTCACGCCGGCGCACTGATTGCCGGCGGAGCCCGGCCTCGGGCCAAGGCCCGGGCATGCCGCGAGCGGCGCCTGGCTGATGCCGGCGCCGCGGCGCCCGCAGCGCGCGCTGTGGCCGCGCAGTTCCCCCGGCTCCCCGCCCCCCCCCCTGAGCGTCCGGGGCGGGCAGGGTCCGGCCCCTGATGGAGGGGGTTCCCTGGGCCAGCGCTGGCGTGCGGGCCCGCACTCGCGCGCCTGACTTCTGGCGCCGCTGGCTGCGTGGTGCCGGCAGCTGTCGCGGCCCGCGCCGGTTGCAATGTGCCCGGCACGACCAGGCTCGGCGAGGAGAGACGGCGCGCCAGGCGGGGGCCCAGCATGGCCCCTGTTCGGCGATTGCAGGGGGCGCCCACCGCGGCCTGGGCGCTGGTGGAGCCCGAAGCGGGCAAGCCCGCACGCGCATGACGGCGCGGAGGTATTGGCCGGCGCTGGAGGCACAGGCTGAGGATACCCTGCGAACGCACGGCTGACATGCCGGCGGCGCGGGTGGTAGCTGAGCTGCAGTGACCCAGAGCACGCTCGGCGGGCACGCCGGCGGCTTGGGTTGGGCGCACGCCAGGTGTGCTTGCACCGGCGGCGCCCTGCCGCAGCCCCTCATCATGGGCTCTCACGCCTGGCGCTCTCGGCGCCGGCGGCGGCTGTGGCGGGTGCACTTTCTCTCGCCGGGTTGGTCAGCGATGAGGTGTCCTTGGCCATCTTGCTGGAGACGCCCTTCATCGGCACGTGCGACCCCCACAAGTAGCCGTGGAACGCGTCCGACTGCCAACGCCCGAACCGGCGCACCCGGGAGAGGTCCTCCGTCACGTGGTACATCGCGGTCGCCCCGCCGATCCTCAGGGAGCGGCTGCCGATTTCCTCCCTGGAGAGCCCGGCGGCCAGCCCTGCGACGGTCAGGAAGTGCTGCACCTCGCCCCTGCGAATCGGAGTACCTGACGCCCAGGGGAAAATGGGCAGCCGTTCCTCGGCGCCCTTTATCCGCTGGGGATGGTGAGCCTGGAGCCGCTCCATCGCCGCGATCGGGCAGAGCGACGTGCCGGCGCGGTAGTGGTTCCTCACCGTCCCGACGTTGAGCTGGTCCGTCTTGCTGCCCTTGATGTAGATCACCATCTCGTCGGCGTCCCGGAAGTTGGGCACGCGCTTGCCGGCCCTCCTAGGCTCTACGTCCTCCCCGTGCAGCACGCGCTCGAAAGACCACGAGCGCCCGTCCTGGAGGAGGTACTCCGAGGCCCGAAGGAGGAAGAAGAAGGCCATCACGATCGCCGCCCAGATGACCACCGCGCCCTCCTCAGGGAGCTTGGCCTCTTGCTGGAGGAAGCCGCGGAGCCGCTCAAGCATGGCCGGGGTGACCGGTTTCTTCCGCTTAGTCTCGGGCCCTTGCCAGCGCTTGAGCCCCGCTAGGGTGCTCCAGAGCCGGCCCCTGTGGAGCAGGGGGTCCGAGTAGCCAGCCACCAGGTGCGCGAAGCGGACCGCGAAGAGCTTTTGCTTGATGGCCCCCTCTGTCCTCCCGACGACTCGAGCGAGAAGGACGGCGAAGTTGATGAGCGCCTCCTCGTCGGCGAGGCGCTCCTCACGGTCGCGCCCCGGGAGCCAAGGGCTAAGCCCCTGCGCCTGGCGCGCGGCCACCCAGAGTCGCCAGCCGCCCTCGTAGCCCGCTCTCGTGCCTTCACTGAGTTTTTGCAGCATGGCTTCCATCTTCTGCTGTGCGAACCAGCTGGCGTAGCCCGCTCCCCCTGGCTCAGCGCGGCCTGAGGGGGCGAGCTCCTTCCCCAGGTTGTTGCTCTTCCTCGCGGTGCCCAGCGCCTGCGGCTTCACCAGGTTGGCGGCTGGCGCCCCCTTTGCTCGCCCAGGGCTCTTCTTGCGCGGGCTCTTCGATCGGGACACCTGCTTGCCCAGCTTGACTGCCTCTGCCGCTGGGGCTTCGCGGGTTCCGATGATCGCGTCCTCGTCGATCTCCCGGATGCGGGTCGCCTGGGCCCGCCGAGTGCGCCGCCTGCCCTTGCCTCGCCCTGCGCCAGCTCCGCCGTCAGCGCGAGCGCGGGCTGATCCGGCGCCTGAGCCCAGGCCCAGAACCAGCGCTTGGTGGCTTCCCACGCGGCCTGCTCCTCCTGGTCGTGGCATACTCCGGCGCGCTGCGTGCTGGCACGGCTGAGGGCCTCCGCCACGGCGCCCAGGACTGCCTCTGCGGCCCTTGGTGGGAGGACCCTGGCCGCGCCTTTCAGGAGCTCATCCTCCGCGGAGCCTTGTGCCTGCAGGCTGGTCCACTCATCGTCGGCCCTACTACTACTACTACTACTACTACTACTACTACTACTACTACTACTACTACTACTACTACTACTACTTACTACTACTTACTACTACTTACTACTACTTACTACTACTTACTACTACTTACTACTACTACTACTACTACTACTACTACTACTACTACTACTACTACTACTACTACGAACTACTACTACTACTACTACTACTACTACTACTACTACTACTACTACTATTACTACTACTACTACTGCTACTACTACTACTACTACTATTCCTACTCCTACTAACTACTACTACTAACTACTATACTACTACTACTACTACTACTACTCCTACTACTACTACTACTATAACTACTACTACTGCTACTAGTAAACTATTACTGCTATTAGTACTACTACACTACTACTACTACTACTACTACTACGACTACTACTACTCTACTATCTACTACTACTACGACTACT